TTCTGTCCCCTCTTTGTCCGGGGGTTCAAAAGGGGGGGAAAAAGAGGCCCCCCCCCCCCCCCCCCCCAAAAAAAAAAAAAAAAAGAAAAAGAAAAAAAGAAAAAGAAAGAGAGACTCAAGTCTACTCTAAAATATTTGATCCATCGATGCTCAAAAGTCAGTGGAATCCAGCAGATCAGGTAGGTGTCATCCAACTCTGAAAGCAGTGGGGCTCATCTAAAAGATAACAGAATAACCCTATATGAAGGTGTTTAGGCATTCGACACGACAGACGAAAAGCAGTCACTGCTAATGTCCGTTGTGGGCGAATTTCTCGTGTTTTAGCCTGCTGGACCGCTCAATTTCCGAGGAAGGCGAATTCGAGAATACTTTGCCGAAACTTACTTCTTGTGCATAGGGGAGGTTGGACCCTCAGATTCGTTGTACTAACTTATTCCAAGCCCGGTAGCGTCGTTTGGGTTCCAACAAAATTCAGGCGTGTTCTAAATGGCGAAGAATTCGATATGGATCACATCCACACCATTCAGAGACTTCCGAATGGCAATCACTACGGCAGAGATCTCCTGCGGTTGTGTGGAGACGGGTGAGAGGAGTACGAGCAGCTCTGCCAGGTCTGGCCCGGTACAGGTGCCGCGAGGGATTGGCACTGACCAGGGTTCTCATCTGATGTAGCTCTGCATTAAACATATTTGCCATCTCCGCACTTCATATCTGTTTGACTTTGTGAGTACGATGTAGGGTAAGCCGAATGGTAACGGCACCGGGATTTATGAGCTATCCGTGAGCGCGTCGCTCGGGCTCGCAATATAATGTGAAATATCCCCTCTTACCTGCCTTGGTCGTATCGGATGGGCACGCAAAGAGTATCGCTCACCATGTCCAGGGACAATACTCCTCCAAGCATCCGTCCACAACGCGCGAAGCGTGTAGCCCGGGCGTGCGATTACTGTCGCAAGAAGAGAGTCAGTGTCTTTCACTCGTCCTACGTCATGGGGGAAGCTGACTTGTAGGTCGATGGTAGCTAAAATGCACCCCAGATCAACGACCCTGCTTCAACTGTCAATTATATCGCACTCAGTGCGTTTCCTCTGACAGAAGACTACGCGCGGCTGGAAGACAAACTAGAAGGCCCTTCGAGATTGAGCAAGAAACGGTAACAGCCAACAGCACCTTGGAGTCGACAAATATTCATGATGATTCTGGCCTAAGTTTATCTCTAAGTTCAGCAGCGGACTCGAGTTCCATGTTTGACGACAGCTTGCCTGGCCCAATTGTCTGGCCCCGAGGAGATGCATTCGAAGCGAGTCCCGAAACCCATGATTTTGGCATTGTCCTACATCAACTTGGTATTGGAGTGTCGTCCAACGTCTGGGATATCGATGGCACGTCACCAACAGAGTTGCCAGACCTGAGCAACACTTTCGAAGGCTGTTGCATGGATGTCGGCGGCCATTCACCTTCTCAACATCCGCTTTCCGATAGTGGCGCGACCAGCCATCTTTTCTCCACACCAGCTCACGTCTTACCGTTCGCCAAATCGTCACGAAGCCTGGCAAACGGGAAAGTGCCAAATATCGAGGCGTTGACGCGGCGCAGCGAGAACACTGCATCCCTCCAGCGAACGGTATTTCCTTCAATGTACATTCGGAAAAATGAAAGTCGGGGGCACTACGTCGGTAAGTCGGGGAAATCCAGTCAACGCATACAATCTATTCATTGCGTCCAATCTTAGGGTTAGGCTCTGTTGGTGCCACACTTGCGATATGCCTTACGGATGGCCTGAAAAGTCAGCAGCTTCCTCGGAAGTCTGACGGCCTGGACTTTCTTATTGAGGCCGGGCCACAAGTCGACGAGGCCGGGTTGTCGTCTCTCTTTGACATTACAAGCCAAGAGTTACCCAGCAAAGAAGCCGCAACGAAGTGTATACAAGGTTCAAGTCTCCCCGATAGTGAAACAATTGCTGGATCTGACTCATTCTCAGCCTTTTTTGAATGCGTTGCCTTTTTCTTTCCAATCATCGATAGAGACATATTTATGTCGCGTATGGAAATGATGTACACGCCGCAGAGATCGAGACTCAACGCTCTCGACTATTGTCTCTTTCACCTCGTCGTATCACTGGGAGCGCTCGTCCAGAGACGTACTTCAACACAGACAGAGGACATGGACCGAATTTACCTATCTTCATATCAAAAAGCCTGGTCCATGATGTCAGACGCACTGGCATCTCCTTGTGAGACCAGCTTGCAGATCCTCATACTCCATGTCGGTGCCTCGATCGTCGCCCTTTACCACTGATCATGCTAATGTTCCCAGATATTCATCCACACCAAGTCTGGGCGAGAAGGGTTCGCCTGGGTCTTGTGTGGTCTTGCCATCAGAGTCGCCCAATCCTTGGGTCTACATCAGAAGAGCCCTACAGATATGGGGTTCTCAGAGCGGCGGATCATCCTTCGTAGTCGCCTCTGGTGCATATTATTTGGCTTTGACTCGTAAGCTGTACAAGTCTCAATGCCCTCGCTGATCGCTAAAGTCAGAGAAGGAGTCTCTCACTCGTTCAAGGTCGACCTCCTGGGATCTCGAGCGGCCTTTACGACAAGGATATATCTTACCTAGACGATTCTCAAAGTGAATCACCTTCTGGGCCGCCCAGTCGTGCGCAAATGTCGAATTGGTGGTATAAGCTAAGCCAGATACAAAACCAGTACTGTGCCGTGATGCAGACCAAGCATTCACTTGTCTCCAGGCTGGACAGCATATCAGAGGCAAACCAGCGCCTCGAGGTGTGGAAAGACAGCCTGCCATCTTCGTATCGCCCGGACGGAACCATTCTAGTTTCTCCAGAGAACTACTGGCACGTCGTTCTACTCCACTTAGAGTATTTCAATTTCCTGCGCACTATTCATCTCGCTGGCACCGTCCTGAGGCTTTCTTGTAGCGGGGTAGCGCACCAAAACTCATCTGAATACCAAGCTAGCGAGGTCATCTGCGTTGAAGCTGCAAGATGTTTCATCAAAATATTAGTAGTTCCGTTCCATCAGAATCGCATGATGCAACGTGCTAAAGTCAACCAAAGCAGCTCTACGGGAGACATAGCGGCGAGGAAAGGGCGCCTGATCGGGTTTGTCATGTTATCTGATCAAAGTGATTCCACCCATTCTGACCCGAGCAGGTTTAATTCGACTAACTACATGTCTGCTATTGCAGTTCTCTACCGGAGCATCATGCGCAACCCTTCTAACGTCTCATCACGAGCTGACTCGGAGTACCTGCGTGCTGGGAAATTGCATTTGGAGCACGATTGTCCTATAAACATTGCTATTCCCAGTATAATCAAATTGTTTAACGATATGCTCACTACTGCAGAAGAATATGTACAGAAACGCAAGTATTGTATTATTTAGGTAGTGTAGGTATATTGCTTAAGTATTACTTCTTAACTAGTGAGGTTGATATCATATTATCATGGTAGTAACTGAATGACGCTTAATATTTAGTATTATTTTCAGTTATTTTATAATAAGTGTTAATCGAATTCTTAAAATAAGATTCAGTCGTGACTGAAGCCAGTCAACAGACTGAATATGTCGGATCTGTCGCGTAAAGCACGACGGTCTTAGTGATGCCGATGAGTCCACTTCAGCTCGGAAGCCGGCCCCATGCCTGGAGCCCCGACCCGCAGATCGTATCCACCGGATCCGTATTAGCGGAATGGGGCACTATTGACCCGGACCGCAGCTAAGCCCCGTTGTCTGGACACAGCTGCTGCCTAAAGCGCCAAGATCAAGACTGCAATCAACGGGGTCGACGTTCTCCCTAATTACTTCAGATGCTTCGTCATATCTTCTTATACCACACGGCGCCTTCATTCAAGCTTGTACACCACCATGGGTCGAGAAACTCAGACCTCAACTGGTCATCCTGATTCAAGCGTTGCCGGAACCGCAAATACAAGGACCACAGAGACTCGGCGATCCCACAAAAAGTCTCGCAACGGGTGCACCGAGTGCAAACGTCGCCATATCCGCTGCGACGAGCGCCAGCCGTCTTGCGCAAATTGCGAAGTCGCAGAGCGTGCATGCGTCTTCCCGCCGCCCAAGGTGGGCAAGCAGAGGCGGAAACGAGGGCAACAGCGTCACGCATCGCAACGGCAGGGGCGAGAGACAATAACAAGCCCAACACTACCCGATTCCAACGAGGGCAATGTAAACAAAATTGACGATGCGGAAGAGCATAATACACAGACGCCGCTGGCCATTCATCAGCAAGACAGCCACTCGGAACTCGGCCCAGCGGTAGATCAACCCATCATTCCCTTGTCGTTGGAGCACGGTGACCAACCGTCCATAGCCGACCTCGAGCCTACCACTTCCTATTCACCTTCCGATTGCCATCCCGGCTTGATAGGTGTACTAGACGCGGCGTCCAAGGCAATATTTACGCCGCAGCACATGATTTTGATGCACAACGCCCACTCAGTACCAAACTTCACCGGGCCGAACCGAAGCATAGTGGACATTGCCGTCCGCCACGCTGTCGACTCACCGTACCTCCTCGATGAAATTCTCGCCTTCACGGCCTTCCACATGGTTCATCTGTATCCTGGATCAGCCGTTTGTCTTCAACACATGGCCACAGAGCTACAAACACGCGCTCTTGCCTCCTTCACTCTCCTCACAGAAACGGTTCCCAAAGATGACAAAGCTACTGCCGTTTCTCGCTTCCTCTTTTCTGCGATCCTAGGCAGACATGTTCTTGCCGACACTATCGCGCACTACCGCTCTGACTTCCACACTTTCATTGACCGACTCGTTGAATGTTTCAATCTCAATCGCGGCATCACCTCCGTCACGCCTCCGGCCAAGGACTATCTATACAACTCCGAGATCCAGCCCTTTCTCAATGTCGTCCTCGAGGCCCACAAAAAGATAGTTTCTCCAGGAACCGAGTGCGATCCTCTTACTCGTCTTTTGGATGATTCTGACCTGAGCGAAACCAGCATGAAGGCATGCCGTCATACGATTGAGCTTTTACAGTGGTCCTTCGACCTCTGTCGAGGCCTCGATGAAGAGGAATATCCCTCAGCGGCCTCGTCGTTTTCTGTGAAGATAGAGGGAAGCTTCGTTGATATGCTGCGGAAACATCGACCAGAGGCTCTAGTAATTCTCGCCTACTATGGCGTATTGTTGCACCGCTGCCGCAGCTTTTGGGCCTTTGGCGATGCTGGCGCCTCAATGATTCGCGCTATTGCCGCGCACCTGGGTAGCTACTGGCAAGGGGTGCTCGAGTGGCCGCTGCGTGTCATTAAAACGGAGTGCAACTCGGGGCCCGTAGCTGAGGCGACGACTCCTGGCACTCTTACAATGACATCGCATGCATCACAGTGATTTTCGATGACGAAGCACATGGATTTTGGCTGATCATGATTATGCAAACTTTGGGCGTTTCTATTTTGCTAAGGATAGCTCTTAGGGTTTGTGGATATAAAAATATCATTTGAGGTGGACTTCATAGAACATATGGATGGGTACTAGGCATCCATGATGCACACTTAATTAGGCAAAGGCAGGAAAATTTTCGAAATGACATGGCGCTCACCTTGACTAAAATCCAGATATCATGATGGAAAATGATCCTGCAGCCTAATTACATCGTTGATTTGCATCGCCCTCAATGCGTTTTGTTCGGAATTCCGTTCGCTGGAAACGTCCAAATTACGCGTAATGATTCATACGTCTTGGTTGCAGTCTATGGTGACTAAGCGATTTTACTGCTAGAATACGCGTAATTTGTGTGAACAGATCGAGCTAGACGGAATGCTTAGCAGAGCCTGGATCCTTTTGATCTTAGAATACAGCCACCAAAGTCTCACTATGAACTGCTTCGGCTAAGTGACAGAAGTATAAATCGACATTGATAACTTGAATACACGTATTTTGGACATTTCACAAGTACTTGGATTTGTACTAAGTCCAAAGTCTGGTCAGACTCCCTCATGGCCCTTGCTATTGCGCGGGCTAAGCACTCTGACTTCCATATGAGGTACCGCAAACCGGTCAACTAGAAGCGATGCTACGCGTAAATCTGCTCTCCCCTTTGCAAGTTGAACCCGACATTTCTTGATGCATCCCTAAAAGGTCCAGTTCTGACTCCTTCACAACAACACAGCCCGCCAAGCTAACAACATAGCCTACAACACACTGACCTGAGCGCAGATCTGCCAGCCTCACGATGATCCTCACCTAGCGCGACGCAGAAGTGTGAATGTTGGCTTGCCTTCTGAAGTTCAAACTCACATAAATACAGAATGCTCTGCCAGTGACTATGTAGCAAAATATCCAGACAATCTACCCTAAAAAGCTTCTCATCTTCATCATAATTTACAAAACAACAAATTCAAGCGCTTTCACGATGGTCATCACACGATTTTTGAAGTCAGCAAGCACCACGGCTGCTGCACTACTCCTGTTCGGCAGCGTGCAAGGACAGCCATCAGCAGCAACAAACAACACGCCAGAGCTCTCGGGCTTCCCAGCAGTATGAAATCCCCCCTCCCTTTTCCCCGAGAGACTATGCTTCAGGCTTTTCTAACATCAATCCAGTGTGACGCACTTGTAGCCGCTAATCTATCTCACGCTGTTCACTTCCCGTCCTCCCCTCTATACCGATCCCTCGTCGAAAGCTCCTATGCCATTGACACGCGCAAACAGCCCTGGTGCTTCGTCCTCCCAAGCACCACAACTGAGGTTTCTACAACTCTCACTGCTCTGCGCTCCGCCGGTGGCGGTGCCGGGGACTGGCACATAGCAATTCGCAGCGGCGGGCACGGGGGCGATAACCAGAACAATATCGCCGAGGGCGTGACCATCGACTTGACGCACCTCAACGCCACCACGTACGATGCGACGACCAACGTTGCGAGCGTCGGAACCGGAGCGCGTTGGGGTGCAGTCTATGCCGAGTTGGAAAAGGACGGAGTCACCGTTACGGGCGGGAGAGAGGGTGTCGTTGGCGTTGGTGGGCTCCTTCTCGGCGGCGGTATCTCGTGGTACACGGCGCGTACAGGCTTCGCTTGCGACAGCGTCGTCAACTACGAGGTGGTTCTGGCAAGCGGCACGATTATCAATGCCAACGCATCCGTCCACTCCGACCTTTGGCGGGCTCTGAAAGGAGGTAGCAGCAACTTCGGCATCGTCACTAGGTTCGATCTCGAGGCGTTCCCGGCTGAGAACTTGAACATGGAGACGAGGACTTACGCTCGGGAACACTCCGACGAGCTTATTGACGCGATTGCGGATTTCGCTGGTCTGAATCAGTCAATGGCGGACAATGCATTGATCTCCATGACGACCTACGACCCCAAGATTGAGGACAGCACAATTATGGTAGTCGAGGTCAACACCAGAAACAAGGCCAACAGCACAGCATATGACGCCTTCAACCGTATCCCACTCTTGCAACCGCCTACCACGAAGTCAGTGTCTCTTGTGGAGGCTGCCAATAGCACTCAGCTTTCCGGCAAAAATCGGTAAGTTGATTGACGACATCCTGTCCGCCTTACGTTGGCTCAACTGACCGTCTTATCACAGGAACGCTGGGGCCGGAGCTCTGACCATTGTCAACGACCCACGGGTTATGCGCTACTGCTTCGAACAGTATAACGGTATTGTCGATGATATGAAAGCCCTCCTAGGACCGAAGAACTTCACTACGATCCTCGACTTCCAGCCGCTCCCTTCATACTTCGCAGACATCGGTGTGAAAAAGGGCGGGAACATGCTTGGACTCGAGCGAGACTCTCGCAACAAGATCCTCTTCGTAATGGGAGTGACTCTGCTGGGTTCTAACAGTGAGGAGCTCTATCCCCGCGTTTATCAACAGGTTGCGGCTATGAACAAGAGGGTCGAGGATTTTTCAAAGTCGATCGGCAGCGACAATGAGTTCAGATATCTCCCCTATGCTGACTCGAGGCAAAATGTTCTTGGGAGCTACGGCGAAGCCAACGTGGAGCACATCCAAACAGTGGCTAAGAAGTATGATCCCAACGGCTTCTTTCAGCGCCGTGTGCCTGGCGGCTTCAAGATTAGTAGGGTCTGATGGGAAAACCTCTTGCCCTGACAATAGGCCAGTACTCAAGATCATGATCTTCCATAACCTCTTATTGAGAAGTTTCATAGTTGGTTTCAACGGCTTGTTTTGTCTTCTATGAGATCGACTTCTTCAGCAAATCTTATGTTCTATTCTAGCTCCCTTGTTATATAATGTTGCTATTTTGGCGGATAGTTCTAGTTGGGTAAGGGAATAACTCCCTTTATTGTGTCTACTAGGTTGTTATATCTTGATAAGCCTATCATACCTATCCTCGCTGTCGTCTCTGTCGTCCCTGTCCTTACTCTGCCTTTTATTCTTGTCGTTGTCATTATTGTCGTCGTCATAATCACTATTACGATCTATGCCTACTGTATGCCCGGGTGGCTGGGAATATCCGCCTAGACGGCGAAACTCTGATTGTAAATTTGTTTTCATTTTCTCTTCAAGCCACGTACAACACTCCCAGTGCGATGGAGCTCAAATCTTCAATGTAAATATCTAGTTAAGTCCATGTCTCACAATAGTGGCAGCTAAGATCGAAGAATTTTTATTCCTGTAGTAACCGTAGCTCGAATGTATGTCGTAGTTGTTTGAGTCTCACCAGACTTCTGTTTTCGCTCTGCTTATGTAACATCAAATCTAGCGGGGAAGAGCAGGGGTTGATTGGCGGGGTGGACAAGGAAGTGTTACGGTCAGCTATCCGACAGTAGGGTCTGCTAACAGAAGCTGGGGATTGACACGTTATAACAGTACACTGAGGTCGTGGTCTGGGTAGTAGGTCGTAGGCTGATAGTAGATCGGTCGTCAGAGGCTAAGGTGATCA